ATTTTTTTTTTTTTTTTTTTTTTTTGCTGTTGCATGAAGCACTGTTATGTAACTTGAAGCATACCCGGCTGTGGAAAGCAGACGAGCACAATAGAAAAGGTAAACATCATTAGAAAAAATTCCAGCAATACCACAGTCTGACTCAATATCTCTGCTGCTTTTCGACTCCCCTTCGGATTCCCCGCATACCACCGGGCAGATGTTCTGCATTATCACTTCTCACTGCAGTCTCACTTTGTGTCTATCTGTCTCTGAGAGCTGATCAAATCATCGCAGAGTTGGAGTGTGTGGGTGTGCAAACTGTTCATATTGTGCCATAGGCTTTTTAAAGTCTTTTCAAAGATAACCACATGAGCAATGAGCAAATGTAGAATATGGTCTGCAGGTGATCTCACAATTCGACCGGACATATAAGCACAGTAAGAGTTAAGACATGTCCTCTATTTTTTTTTCAGAGCAGAGCAACTGCTGGCTTACTAAATATATCAGCTATAAAAACTGGTCGTGGGGAAAAAAAAGGACAGATGGCATAGTTATAAAGAATCAAATGTAGCAATCACATCAGATGCGATCAGCTGTTTTCACTCAGCAGGAAGCCATGAGGGTTTCATTTTGAGCACTATGATGTGTAAGAGCACATAACAGAGAAAGTGTAAAAACCTTCCTGGGGAAAAGTCTCATTTGGGTCACAGATAAGAAGAACAAGTCACCTTATGTTATTCTGTTGAATCTGGTATAGAATTAAAATTGTAATCCATAAAATAGCCCAAGATCCCCCAACTCCATATTCTAATCTGTACTGAGGAGTGTTTCAAACAAAATGGTGCACACATCCTAATGAATCCACTGTGGTATAAGCATCTAAATAGTGTTTCCTCCCCGACACATTTTGTTGACTTAATTAAAATCCCAACCGCTCCGATAACACCCCATGAGAGCTTTTACCTTTATATATGCAAGCTTATTACTTTATTTAAAATCAAATTAAGTGTTTTTTCTTAGGTTGTCCAGTCATTCAGATTTGTCCTCCAGTATCGTGGCTGATTTCTTTCAAACGTAACCTGTAAAGATGATAAATTACTAAACTTTAGAACCTCAGATGATCAAACCACAAACCAAACACCACAATAGTAATGATCCCATCCAACAGCAACAGTATATTTGTTAAATTGTGTGGAAATGTCTGATCTAAAAAATGCTTTGGGGCTTGGCAAATATTTGGGTAAGTGCGTATTCTTGGCATTGCTCCTAATCATGAATTCTTGGTAATTCATCTGCTCAAACATTACTGCTTTCTGACAGCACATGTGGGCAACACATGCTTCTTACCTCACAATAGCCACACGACACAAAAACAAAACTTAGCTGTAAGGACATTCCCAAACAATGAGCGGTGCTAGAGAAGATGTCAATTCCGGTGATAACGAGAGGAAATGTAAACACTCACTAAGATTATGGTAAATTACACTACTTCACAATGACTTCACAGCCTGTCTCCACAGCATGTATGTGATTATAGGAGGACAGGGATGATGAGAGGTGATTCAGCTCAGCCTTTCATGTGACCCAGGGATTGCCTCGGAGGGACGAGGCGGCAGGCCGTCACCATCACACACAGAGAGCAGCCACAAATGAATTCACTCCAACAACAACCCCTGTCCTCGCCTGCTGCAACATGCTCTGCCAGCACTCGCAATCAACCAGCGAATTCCTTCCGCTCTGAGCTGTGAGGTGCAGGGTGAGGACGGGGGGTTTTGCGGGCTCAGTGTTGTGATTGTGATGTTGTGTAATTGACAGGTATGTTTGAATCCAGTGTGTGATGCACACTTCACACCGCCCATTCCCCCACTTGGGTCGGACAACAAACATGTTTGCTTCCAGGAACGTGAAAATACATGCCAAGATGACAGGGCTATTCAGAGATGAAGAGGTTATTCATTTGGTTAATCACACATTGCGTGCAGCAAATCATCGATCCCATCCATGTGTGAAGGAAAGATGTACAAAATGTATGGTCCAACGAGTTCTTTAAGCCAAGTCTACAAGTGGCTTCTTTTGGTTGAATAAACTTAAACTTATACCTTCAAAGCTAGGAAACAACTTGGTGACGCCTGAACTAATTTGACTGTAATTTATTACACAGTGCTGAGAGAGAGGAAAACTATACATAGAGGGCTGACTTAAGCTGGCCTGCTATTATTTTGCCCGATGAGAGAAGAGAAAATTAGATCAAAGCTGAGCAGTTGTCAGCTTCTTCTTTTGTCTTTGCTAAGAATGAGTCGCAGAGCTGCAAAGCCTTGAAAGCAGCTGCCCTGGAGCAGACCGCTGCCCATTCACAGCTGACTGTCAGCTGTGGTGTCTCCTTCACTGGTGCAAATTATTAAAAAAAACATGCCAGTGTGTTATTAAGGTTTTAACTTATACTACAAATCATTTATACTTGATGACCATTTTAAAATGTATTCTTTTGCAGTTTGGTTTTTATTGATTTCTGAGTGGTATAAAAATCTAATAGTAGTGTGCAATCAATCACAGCAAACATCAAGTGTACATTACTGTTGGTCAATATCACCGCATGGTAATGCAGTTTACATGTAGATTAGCTAAAACAAATCAGTCAATTAATCTATTAGTCGACTGACAGAAAATTATTCAGCAGCTATTTTGATAACTGATTAACTGTTCCTCGTTTCGACTGCTCAAATGAAAACATTTACTGATGTTCTTTGTCCTCTATTATAATAAATTCAGTGTCTTAATCTTTGGTTTTGGATGTTTTATTTGGGGTATTTTTTCCTAATCTGTGACATTTTAGACCAAATACTTTTGCAGATGAACCTACAATGATTAGATAATTGTTAGTTGAACACTATTCTGAATCTGCACCTTACCATTATTATTGGAATTTGGATTGTAGAGCTACAACTCAAACATGTTTCAAGAGTATGTGTAAAAGTGTGAGTGAAGTGATTTGAAGTAAATGATCTACAACGTTCAAAACTAGTTCAGTTTCTTTAAAAAGATGACATGAAATGTCAAAGCAGAAGCAGAATGTATATATCAATGAACATAACCTTTATTTACTGCACAAAGCAAACTATTTCTTTATCGTTATCTATCATTTGGAAAGAGAGTTCCTTCTTCTTCTTCCTCTCTCCCTGTTTGAAATACCTGTTAACATGGCTGATGTCAGTAATTGATTTTATGTCTCTAATCTCTTTTCTCTATTATGAAGAGATTTCTCCTCTGCACCTGGGGCCAATGCTCTCGTCTTTTGTCTTATCTGCCCGTGAGTACACTAGCCCCCAGTGGGGGCTGCACTAATCCCCCATCCAACAGACTCTTCACACACACACTAACACACTCTCTCTCTCATGGGAGAACCCCACAGCCGACTGTATGCCAGACACTGCCTTGAGCTGCCTGCTAGCAATGTAAAGCAGAGACAGATGGAGAGGCAAAACCAGACACAAAAGTAGCTAATCACAGGCCATTACAGTGATAAGGAAAATATGGCATTTCAAGCCACAGAAAGGCATTTTTCATCCATAAAAAGGAGCAATATGTGCAAGTGCAAGTACTGAAGATTTTCTGTAAATCCTAAAAAATGAGTGAACTATTTGGATGACGTCACTCACCCTTCTGCAGAGTCCTCTGTCACTTCAGAGTGTAACACGTGAGAGTGAAGAATCTCTCAGGCTGTGAGTCTGACATGATTTCAGTGTGACACCATGAATGATTCTCTGCATCTGTGATCAACCACCTCGGCCATGGCTTGCTTTGGCTTCACAGGGAGAGGAGGAGAAGTGGATAAAGATGGTGAGGGTACAGACAAACATCAAAGAGGAAAAACAAACTACTCTCATAGTTCTATGTACACTATAAAGGATGAGCAGTATGCCATGGGTTGAGTGCTGAAAACTCTAAATATATAAAGAGCTTTGATCATTTGATGTAACAAGAGGAAAATCATAAATCCACCTCAGTTGCACTGCGTCTCCACTCATGACTTTGTTATGAGAAAGAAATCAGTAGTGTATGCAGGATAGGATATAACAGACTCCAAGCCAAATTCACTACTGTTTTTTTTAACTGGAAAAATAAGAAAATAAAAATAAAAATAAAAAAATCTCACTGTCTCATATATTTCATGAATTTGAGAATAAACACAGAATATTCAAGTAAATTCGACATGCTAAAGATGCAATCATTTGATGATGTAATTCCAGCACTGAGTTTTCATGCTAAACTTTGCATTAAAAAGTTTAGCATAAAGTTTGCATTGGTCCATTGTGTAGGATTTAGGAACATCTAGGAGCAGAAATGATATATAATAAAAGATACGATATGATATACTTTATTATGTGCTTGCACAGAAATTTGTCTTACGGCAGCAGGCCCCGATTGCAAAAACAAGAGAAAAAGAAACATTACAAAAATACACAAACAAACATGACACAAAAAGAGGTTCCATTAATGCTCTTCTGTCCTTAAGTGTAAATCTTGATTTTACTTTAGAATTGACTGATGGACAAAATATCTTTTAAGTCTAACTTTCTAAAACTGTGATATAGCATATCGTCTGTGTGATGGCAACAGGGTATATTCCATCTTTAGAACATGACTGGCATTTGATACAATGTTTTTTTGCTAGCCTTAATATGCTATTTTGCTAGGTTGAATCATACAGTTTAAGAAGTGGTTGACCAACAATCTTTGAGCAGATGTTCAATTGGTTGAGCAGTTGTGATTTCAAAGCGACAGACATGCATCCATACCAGGTAGTATAGAATGCTGCAGGGATGACTTATTTGTCCCCTCAATAAAAAGCCAATATTTTTCCAAGGGTCTGACTGATACATGTTTGTGGCCATCATGCTGCACATCTGCAGTGTTCACTCCATATCAGTAGATGGTGATAATCAACCATGTAACCGTCACACTTTGTGTTGTGTTCACCTCCATCACAGCAGATGGCAGTATTACAGAGAGGACAAACACAGTCCAACATCCGTCAACAAACAGGACACTATCAGCACGTTTACATCGCGTTTCATAACAACAACCTGCATAACAACGCAACATTTCCCAGTGTTATGTAATCAAGTCATTTAGAATTAACCTCAGTCAGAGAAATGACCTGCATCAAACTAATATTTTTTAGAGGACCGCGTATAAAAGTCGGACTTGTGGTCGGTGCAGCATTCAGCTCCTGCAGATGTTTCCATGCTGAACAAGTGAGTACATCATAAAGTAAAGTATATTACAGACACAATGCATTGCATTCAAACTGACCTTACAAGGAGCCTCTTCACCTTGCAGGTAAGACATGAATCCAGCGGACTTCCGATTGTTCATCACAGCAAGTATGTGTGCGACCTCCCACCCAACCACAGGTTCCCAATGGGCAAGTTTCCCCAGGTTTTAAACTGTTTAATCAAAGATCAAGTCATCACAGAGAAACAGGTGAGCCAATCATTGATATCTTCTTCCAAAAAAAAAAAGAAAGTATGATATCTTTTATTAACTGTGCCATAACGTCACCAGTATGACACAGTTATTTAATAGAAACAATGATTCAACAGCAGTTCCCCTGGTGTCACATCACTATCAGCTGATATAACACTCTGATATCTATTTTGGACTGTTGCTAGGACACAACATATCCATATGTTATTTTTAGAGCAGTCATCTAACAGCGATTGATCAATAAGAAAACAATAGATAACTGATAGTAAAAATCATTGTGACTACTGGAAGCACTTCTCTCTTCTTCACAGTAGGTGTGGGTCCCTGAAATTGCCTCTAAAGATTTACTCAGCTGTGTGCACACTGAGGAATATTTAAACAACTTCATAAATGGGAAAATAAATGAGCAAGAACAAAGGAGGACAGTTTTCCCCTGGAGTGAAGGCATAGTGAGACGCTGTCGATATGAAACAGGTGGGGAGAACATCTGAAGTCTCTTGATGCTCTAACAGTGGAAAGATCGAACACGACATGACAGCTTCTCTGGTGTTGACAGGTGGAACTGTTCTGGCTGCTCAAGTCGCTCTGCAGAGGGGTTTGGCCTGCAGCACAGCAGGAGGAACCCATCATGCTTTTCCAAGCTATGGTTCAGGGTTTTGTCTCCTTAATGACTTGGCAGTTGCAGCCAAATACCTGATTGGCACCTCCTCCCCGAAAAAGAAGGTTTTAATTGTGGATCTAGACGTACATCAGGTGGTGTTAACTTGTCTCTACTACTTTTAATGTTCTGGTACCAATATGTAATCTGAACATTTGTACTGATAGGCTAAACGTTTCTGCAGTAGTAAAACTCTCATCTTTTGCATCCAACAGGGAGACGGCACTGCTTTCATTTTTAAAGATGAGCCGTATGTGTTTACATTCTCAGTGCACTGTGGGAAAAACTTCCCCCTTCGTAAACAACAGAGTGATCTAGATGTCAGCGTGGAGGATGGGCTGGAAGACAAGGATTACCTGTCCACAGGCACGTTACCACAGAACATAATGATCAATATGTGTTCAAAGTGTAGATCCAAATACTTTGCTGTCAAATTCAAAAATTTTCATTTGAGTACTAAAGTCTTTAAATTTGTCAAACGTTGAAATTTTAGTCATTTATTTCCGTTTTCACTTTGCTGGTTTCGACATGAACAAATCAAATAAAAGTCATAAAGTGCATCTTTTGTAATCAGTAACATGTTAACAGTAATGGGAATGTTTGTTTCCATGAACTTATCAACATGTCTGATGATGTTCTCAACAGTGGAGGCCCACCTCCCCTGGCTGCTGGAGACCTTTCGTCCAGACCTGGTTCTGTATGACGCAGGTGTCGACCCTCATTGGGAAGATGAACTCGGGAGGCTCCGTCTGACTGACCAAGGCACGTGGTAACTTTGACGCCTGAGTATCTCCACTTACAAGTAATTTCTCAACTCTTGAATCTCTCTTTGAACTGATTATCTCCTAGGGCTGTATCAGAGGGATCTGTACGTGATGAAGACTGTGGTGAGCAGAGGTGTTCCTGTGGCTGCTGTTATCGGAGGAGGATACTCCAGAGACATCAACAAATTGGCCCTCAGACACTCCATCGTGCACAGAGCAGCCACTCAGGTACAGGACACATAAGCTCTTAACCAGATGTTGTTGGATGATTCTCTTCAACACAGAATTGCTAACTTTAACAGTGTAGAAAATGTCAGTGACAGGTTGGATTGAACATGTTCTTCATATTTTAGGTTTGGAGGGAGTGTGGAATGTAAAACCATCATGCCCCAAACCAAGAGGACCCTCAGAACCTACCTGGTGCTTGATCTTTTTGAGCCATACTGATGCCATATTAAAGGAATACTAACCCTACTTAAGTGACCCTTGTATATCAATTACCCACCCCCTGTTATGTTGAATTTATGAGGAAAACTTTTCTCTTGCTTGCCTCTGGTGAACGAAGAACCCAAAAATGGAGAAAGTTTGTAATTAATTGAAGTAAGTGGGGGCCGTGTTTAACAACAACTAATCTATACCAAAACATCTGTTTACAAACTCTCACACATTTGTTTAGTATAATCCTAAGTCTTATTTATCCAGTCATATGCTCATTACTTCCCAAATACATTTATTTTCACTAAAACCGTACTATTTAAAACTGAGCTGAAAGTTTAACTTATCTAGCTCTCTTCAAAGCCAGACTCCATTGACAAAAACAGTAATTTTATGACACTGAACACAGGAGCTGCTGGTCTACCGCTGCCTCGAACAGCTTTGTTTTATTGTGTGACTGTTTCCTAGGGTAAGTTCTGATTCACCAATGTCACACAGCAACAAAAACGAACTACCTATTGAGGCAGTGGTAGACCAGCAGCTGCTGTATTTGATGAGGTAAAAATACTGTTTTTGTCAAAGGAGCCTGGCTTTGAAAAGAACACAGATTAAGTTTCACTTTCTGTTCAGTTCCCTGTTGGAAAGGGCTGTCTGTTTGGGAAGTGCTAAGCACACAGCTGTATAAATAAGACTTCGATTATACTGCATGAGTTGCATGAGAGTTTGTAAACAGATGTTTTGATTTTGCCTTCCATTCACCATGAATCTTCCTCGTTTTGGATTCTTCATTCAATGAGGAATGCAAGATAAACAAAGTTTTCTTCATGAATTCAACATAACTCAGGGTGAATAACTGATACACAAATGGTCACTTGGAGGGTGGAGTATTCCTTTAATATTTGGCAATAAAAAAAATGTAAAGTATGTATGAATTAATACTTGTGATTTATCAAGAATTATGTAAGAGATATTGGAGACAATGGATTCCTAACAGAGAGTATCTTGGCGTGTTTTCATGTCTTGGACAAATTTGTGTAATGATGAGTTCTAAAATTGGACAGGTTATTTTTAGCGAACCAACATGCAGTATTTTGATAGGCTAATATAATCCATCCAATACATAAAGAGAGCTCTACTGGATAATATAGTTGGATAATATGGAAAGTCGTTGGTCGTTGGCCATGCACGTGACTCTCTTATACCATATGTGGTATGTTGTGAAGTGAATTGAAAAACAACCGTTTACCTCAATAAGATACTGTATCACTACTACAGTAGTAACTGTCTTGTAACTATTAAATATTCTGTTATTAAACAATACACTTTGTGGTTGTCACTTAACAAAGATCTGCCAAATTACAGGTATCATGCATGACAGTAAATGCAGCACCATTCATGAACAAAAATATTTAATAAGGAAAAACAAATTGAACAAACTGAACAAATATTTACATCAGGTCACATAAGACAATAAGATACCAGTGTCACTTCAGAACAAACACAATTGGTCCACACATACTGTACTGATAAGGATATGCACCGTCCTTGGCACAAAAGGTACATTAGCATGTCTCCAGTTTCACCTATATTCATGTCATTCACTGACATCAAGCAGCAACATATTCGTGGTACAGTGCAATGTTTATTCACAGTATATGAGGCAGTTGATTCACTGAAACACACCAGTGGTGTCTTTCAGCTTGTTACTAAAACACAAGACATTATACGTGTATTACAAACATTGAGCACGCACACACACTGGCAACACATTCTTTGAAACACTTGGAGAATAAAAACGCAACAAGCAAATGCACAAATGTTCTGGAAGATATTCTGCACAACTTTGAGCTCTTCTTATGATAGTGTTATGATAGATTACACACGAGCAGTTTACAGAGTCCCACCAAGAAGTCTATAACAGATACTTGCTGCAGATTTAGCTCATATTCAGAGTTAAGGAACATGTAACTGTAAAACAGGCAGACACAAAGAAGTAAGAACTTTCCACTAAAATGAATGCATTAAAAACATTTACGAGCAAGTGGAAGAGCATACTGTAGTCTCACAAAGTCCTCTTTGGCTAATATAAAAGTCCAAAGAGAGAAACAGTGCATTTCCTAACATCTCTCTTACAGAAATGCTCTCTTAAAAGAGTTAAAATCACTAGCAGCACAGGAGCTCGCTGTGGTTGGATAATAAAAACTAATTCTTGGCACTAAAAAAGAACACACTGGATAACTGGATACTGCTTGTTGGTTTCATGTATTGACAGAATAAATATAAAAAAAAACATGGTATAATATACAGTGGTAACCATTGTTGAACACCACCCTCCTCTGTGCATTCTCCACTGCTGCTGCAAAACCACTGCAATAACAACATCTAAAATCAGGTTTAATGTTAGACGTGGATAGGCCTGTAACACAGCTGGTTCCAGGACTAAAAAAAGATAAAAAGATATCAATAAATTATGTTTTCCAAACAGTTAGGTAGAGTCTTGCAGCAGTGGAGTATTTTAGTGTTTGTGTACCTTCAACAATGGCCACATCTGTATATTTATTCACTTTTTAGTCACAAGAATGTAATGATCATCAAATGTGTGATTCAGTGCTAAAACTTGAGGCAGAGTTGATGCAATATAAAATCAAGTTAAAATTATTTTTTCTACGATTGAACTTTCTCTGCCACCACACACCAGTTGGCATGATCAAAGTAGGTGTATTTAACGTGAAGCTCTTCAACGTGATTCTCAATAAGCTCTGCCAGTTCTCCCTCCCTGAAGACGTGATAGTACCTCAGGCAGGAGCCCTCCACCTGCCCCTCGCTTCCCTGAGGACCCCTTGTGCTTTCTTGCTGCTCTTTTCCCCGCAGTCCTCCTTCGCTTTCATCTCCAGACTGCTTCAGGTGCTCCTTCTGGAAAGGGACCAGATCTGGCAGGGCCAGAGAGCCACACTCCTGGGCTAGAGATACTGAGACACTCTGGGTTTCTGTGCCGTTGTTAGTAGTGTTGGTGGTGATGTTGTTGTTGCTTCCAGGATTCTTTTGACCCTTGTGCAGGTCTGTGACCGAGTCAAAGACATCCTCCTCTGATCCGATCACAGACGGCGGGGAAAAGAAGCTCGAGACCTGTTTGATGAGCCCTCGTCCTCGCCCACGCTGGCTGGCCTTGCTCCCCCTGTTTTCACCTGTTGGTGAAGATAAAGTGCTCAGATCTCTGGACGACGATCGGGAGATGGCTAAGCTTCCAAAGTCGAACACAGAATCCAGAGACCTGGAGAAGAACCACAGTCTCTGTGTGCTCTGCTGTGGTGTGGTGCAGGTCAGATCTTCCTCATCTGCCACAGAGGATGTGCTTCGAACCTTCCTGTGCTTGTCAGCGTTGTCTATGGCTTCACTCACACTCTGAGCTGTGGCCCTACGTCTGGGTTTGGCATGCTCCCTGTTGGAGCAGGACGGTGAGTGAGGGTTGGGGTTCCAGGGAACAAAGATGTCCTGTTTCTCAAATTTACGACGTTTCTGCTCCATGGCCCACACGTAGATCATGATGCGTCCTCCCACTTGCAGGGTGCGAGCCATCTCCTTTATTGCTCGAATACGGCGTTCTTTGGTGGACAAATGATGGATGACTGTGACAAAAACATTAATTTATCAGAACTAAGAAGGGTGAGCAGGCATTTATTTAATTCTGGTGTTAAGTCACATTCAGCACTTGCAGTCAACATAACACATTATGTACACTAAGTATGACACACAACACAAATGAATAGTGTGGGTGTCTGCTGTCATCTTTGCTCCTAACTACACTCTTTTGTTGGAGGACACATAAATTATTCCACACGGTTGGCTAGGCAACATAAGCTTGTGGTAAAGAGCTGTTTATCATTATTATGAGTTCACTTAATTTGAGGCAAATGGCAGCTACAGCAGTCGGGCTTCATGCATAAGAAGGGAGTGATTTGCTACTGAGTAGGAGGAATCAACAACATCCAAATGTCCCTTTAACAGTGTGTGTTTGTCCATTACCTGCAATAGAGAGCACCGCATCGAAGCAGCTGTCTCTGTAAGGCAAATGCAGCCCGTCACACATCTGGACCTCGTGTCCTTGGCTCCAGGCAAAGTCCACCAGGGGGCGACAAACATCACACCCCAGCTTGAACACCTCCTTGTTAATGTGGAGATACTTGCCATTGCCACAACCTGCCAAGGACAAGACAGTCAGCTACAGCTTATTGTGTTTCTAAAAATAAGCACAAACAATGTATTAATATTTTTAACTTCTAGGCCAGGATGACATCACTGCTGGAGGTGACACTCACCAATGTCAGCCACGATGCTTCCCGGCTGCAAGTCCAGCAGGAACTGTCGCACCTTCGGCCAGGCTTTATAGCGGCTGTCGTTGAAATATGGAGCAATCTTGTCATAGACACTGTGCACATGGTCTCTCTCGAGCTGACTGGCAGCCTCCTCCATCATGTTAGTCCAGGCTGCCTCATGCAGCTGCCTCACAGTATCATGCCTGCAGGGACAAACACATCTCCCTGCTTATTTCCAAATGACAAATCCATCAAATATTTACTCTGTTTCATTAGGAAAATAAAAAATAGCAATGTGGACCCCCTGAAGGGGACGGCACAGCAGTGTTCCTCTCCACATGCTTGTTAAGGTCAGCTTGAAAGCCTAATCAGCAGCAACATCTGTCAGGCAGCAGTGGCAATTTGATACCAAACCCTCGGTTTGTACTTGAAGTGCCCACCGTGGTCATAATCAGTCATTCTTTTCACATCCATCCTACTGTCCTCCAGAAGGACAGACTGATGTTAAGTACTAAGAATAAAAGTAGATAGGTAGGTTTAATCTATCATCAATCCTCTGTGACTATGAGAAAAAAACAACTACACAAACAGAGCGGGGATCATAAACAACAGGGGATCATAACAAGGTAACAACAACGAGGCAGTCCCAATCTCACAGAGCACTCAGAGGTCCAAATTGTTTTTACCGTCACACAGAAGCAAAAGGTCGATACACAAATAATTCTTGTTGGCAACAAGATGCAAAACAAACAACAGCAATAGTGTTTGAGTCAAAGTTCCTTTTACAAAGATTCTCATTAGCCATGTTTCACACTCTGGGAGGGTTTTAGATTTTGTAATATTTAATTCATTTAGTTTCACAGCAGAACATTTTCAGTATCAGCTCACAGTTGAGGAATCACTTTCACCTGCACTGACCCTCATCAATTCTAAGGAGGACTTTCAATTTCCCCAGAAATACAAGACTAATATATATTTATGTGGATAAAATTTTAGTCTGATTCAATTATTTTTTCATCTGATTGCACTGCATAACTGGATATCACAAAAGATATTTTACTTTGTTACATACATAATTGTAGCCGCTTTCACAATTTTACTTATTTTTTTTAATTGGGGGTTAATGGGAAATTGCTTTCCAATATTTTTAAAGAAAAGATCCATTACTGTTCATTAAAAAAATCATAAATAGTAGCTCATCACATTAATGAGGATTTTGCTGTTTATCTCTCAGAGATGCATCATAGAATTTAAG